TGGTGCTCCCTCCTGAGGTCTCCGAAGACAAGCTGTGGGAGTACGTGACCTACCTGGACAACACCAGGCGCCTCGGGACGGCGCGCACGCGTCCACGCTATCGTCGTCTGTTGTCCACCTCCTTCTCCACCTTCTCCTTCTGCATCCTCTTCTTCGAACTTCGAAGACCGAAGGTTCCCGACATCCTGAGCAGTTGCTCAGCCCTTGGAGGCATCTTGAGACCTCCAGGGGATTCCGTAGACTCCAGAGGGCTCAGGGGACCTCTGGCGCGATGTTCCTCTTTTCCCTGTTCCCCTTATGCTCCTTTTCCTCTCTTTCTTTCTTCTCCTGCTGCTCCTGTTCTCCCGGCTGATCCTGCTTCTCCTTCTGCTCCTTCCTCCCCCTGCCTTCGTCCTCCTTCTCATCCTGCCTCTTTCCGCCTACTCCCGCCTCCTCCCGAAGTCTCCCTCCTCTTCCCGCCTCCTCCCACCTCCTCCCCGCACGTCCGCCCTCTTGGCTGGCTCGAGCGTCCTCCCCGCCTTGGCGGCGCTTGTTTTCCCCGAGTCTTCTTCTTCCACCCCCACTCTTTCGAAGGGAGGGAACTCCAAACAGACTAAGAAGAAAGGTCTTCGCCGTGCCTCCCCCCCCAGCCACGCCACTGGACCCCTTGTCCCCAGCGGGAAGAATAAGAGAAGAACACGAACGCAACGACAACAGCGCGCCCCGAACTTCCCAACCCTTGTGCGACCTGAGCAGGATTCATGTGAGTGGGACCCCCTTATTTATGTCCGTCGGGGATTGCTGCTCTCTGCGCGGTTGGGTGTTTTTCCCTCCCCAGAAGGTTTCTCAAGCACCTGCTTGAAGACGAGAAGCTTGCCATCGCCAGAGCCATGACCCAGATGAACTTCAAGAAAGGCCACGGAGCGCTTGAGCCAAGGAGGGGGACGATGAGGAGCAGCTGGAGGAGGAGGAGCAGGAGGAGCAGGAGGAGGAGCACGAGCGCTATGGAAACTCTGATCTCTGATGAAGGTTGGCTTGCATCAACACGTATTACACTCCTGCACTACATTGACCTTGAAAGTGAGAACTTGCAATGCAAAGCTCCAGCGTGGCTTTCGCAGTTGGGTGCGGCAGTTCGGCCACCCCCTCCTGAAACCTTCCAGAGGACGATCGTAGGAAGATTTTTAGGAGGATTCCTCCAAAAACCTTCCAACAGCCTTCGTGAGGTTTGTGAGGATTCCTCCGAAAAGCCTTCCACCAACATCCTTCCTGAGGAAGGTTTTAGGACGGTTGACTTTCCAACAATTTTCTGGAGGAAGGTTTTAGGAAGGTTTTGTTACAAGGATTCCTCCCCAAACCTCCCCAAATCCCCAAAACCTCCCAGAGGAAGGTTGTAGGAAGGTTTTAAGCAGGATTCCTTTAAGCACTTTTCAAAAACCCTTCCTGGGGGAGATTTGGTGGAAGGTTTTTGGAGGAATCCTCCAAGAACCTCCCAAAAACCTTTCCGAGAAAGGTTTTAGGACGGTTTTTAGAAGGATTCCTCCAAACACATTTCGAACACCTCCCTGAAGAAAGTTTCATGGATGCTTTTAGACGGATTATCCCAACAACCTTCCAACAACTTCCCCGAGGAATAATGTTGGGAGCCCACTGGCTATCATGTTCCAAGGTCGGCCACGAACTGCTGAAGGGGTGCGGCCCTGGCATGCTGCAGGTCCGTGCTGTTGCCAGGCCGCCCTTCGTCCTGCCATCCGAGGCATCTGGTAGGGTTCACAAAGTTAGGAGCACTCCCGCGGTCCTTACATCGCAGCTTGTATCCGTCGGCCACTTCGAATTGGGTGAGCCAGGATTTTTTGATAATGAGTTTCGAGCTCCATGTCACCCACTGCTCTCTCCACGAAAATTCTTCCCCCCCCTTCCTCTCCTCTGCCATGCCGGTTGCCGTTTCACCCCGCGCGCGCTCGGACAAGTCAAGCATCAAGCAGCCGCTGCCCCCACAGTGCCCTGCCGGGCCCCGCTGCCGATGCGCGGGGGGCCCGTGGCGGGGGTGGAGCGCGGGCACATCTCGGGGGGGGGGGGGGCGGGCAGGGAGGGTCCCCCACGCACGAACGCACGAGGGAGAAAAGGGGATGGAATGGTCAAGCCTGCAGAGCAAGGCGGGGGCCAGCAGGCGGCGCGCATTGAACTGGAGGCAGCCACGAGCTGCCACCGTTGGCCGGGTGAGCGTCGCCAGGTCGGCTGGCAGCTAGCGCTTCAACCCAGCAGCTCCTCTTCCTTCCCATCCTCCTGGCCCCCCCTTTGCACTGCCCCCCTGCGCCGCTCTCGGCCTCGGCTCCCCAGACTCCTCGCGAGGAGGGGGAGCACGTAGACTGCAGCAATCGCCTGCATACGAGTATCACCGCAGCTCCCCGCGCCTTGGTGAGCAGCGCTGGGGTTCTGCTGGCAGCTGTCCGCGAGTCAGTTAGGTAGTTGCGCTCGTGCTTAGCCTCTCTTGTGCTTCCAGTCTCCTCCTCTCTCTCCTGGAACCGACAAAAGAGCACAGGGCATGGACCTCCGAGCGATGGCCGGCCCCGCGCCACGCAGGGGCCTCTCGGCCCGCGCGCTTGGGAGGGGCGGGGGCGCCGGCGCGCGCGCGCGCCGGCGAGCGGCAGGCTCCTTGGGCGCGCTCGAGGGATCTCGGCCGAGGAGAAAAAAAAAACAACTTCCCCGAGGAATATGTTACCAAGGCTTTTAGGAGGATTCCTCCAAACACCTTTCAACAACCTTCTGAAGAAAAGTTCTTGGACGATTTTAAAAGGATTCCTCAAACAACTTTCCCAAATCCTTCCGGAGGAAGTTTTTTTTGTTCCAAGGATTTTTTGAATATATCCCACCAGCAACCTTCCTCTGGAAGTTGTTTTGGGAGGTTGTTGGAAGGGTATTGGATTTTTTTGAGTTGGAAGGTTTTTGGAAGGTTTTTGGACGGTGATTTGGACGGTGCTTTGGAAGGTTTTGGCCGATCCGCCCGGAGGGCGGTGCAGCGCGAGCTTGGTGCCGTGCGATCGTGGTACCTTGTAGTGCGTGTTTTCCCATCTCTGCTAGCGCACCGTCTGGTGCAAGCCTTCTGATTGGGCGATCTCGCTAAATTTTGCAAGGTTAGTGAACGGTTTTTGGAAGGTTTTGGGAAGGCTTTTCAAAGCTTATTGGAAGGTTCTTGGAAGGTTTGTGGGAAGCTTTTGGAATGCACGAAAACCTTCCAAGCACTTTTCTCGCCTCTCCCCCCTTGGAGCCTGGGAAAAACCTCACAAAAACTTCCTTCGGGAAGATTTTTGGAAGGTTTTCCCCAACCATCCTGTGGTGTTGGCTCCTCGTTTTGAAGAGACAGCGCCCCGCGTCCCACATCCTCTCCTCCTCCTCCTCCCCCTCCGCGTCCGCACCACCCATTTCGGCACGCCCCTCGCACGGTTCGTGGCCCCATAGGGTTCCACCGAAGTCCCCAGTGGCTACGTTCCCATGCGTCCCCACCACCCAGTTTGGCACACCCTTCACACGGTTCGTGGCCCCATAGGGAGCTCCATTTAAGGCTCCAGTGTCGACGTTCCCATGCGTCCCCGCCACCCATTTTGGTACACCCCTCACGCGGTTCGTGGCCCCATAGGGAGCTCCACCTAAGGCTCCAGTGGCGACGTTCGCATGCGTCCCCACCACCCATTTGGGCACACTGTTCAGACATGCCGTCACCCCACAGGGAGCTCCACCTAAGGCTTCAGTGGTGACGTTCCCGTGCAACCCCGGCATCATTTTGGCACACCCCTCACACGGTTCGTGGCCCCATAGGGAGCTCCACCTAAGGCTCTAGTGGCGACGTTCCCATACGTCCCCGCCACCCATTTTGCCACACCCTTCAGCCGTGTCGTGGCCCCATAGGGAGCTCCACCTAAGTCCCCAGTGGCGGCGTTCCCATGCGTCCCTGCAAGTGATTTTGGCACACCCCTCACGAGGATCGTGGCCCCATATGGAGCTCCACCGAAGGCTCCAGTGGCGACGTTTCCATGCGCACCCGTCGCCCATTTTGGCACACCCCTCACACGGTTCGTGGCCCCATAGGGAGCTCCACCTAAGGCCCCAGTGGCGACGTTCCCATGCGTCTCCGCATCATGTCGGCACACCCCTCACGCGGTTCGTGGCCCCATAGGGAGGTCCACCGAAGGCCCCAGTTGCGACGTTCCCATGCGTGCCCGCCACCCATTTTCGGCACGCCCCCCACGCGGTTCGTGGCCCCATAGGGAGCGCCACCAAGACGATATCCACAACTGCGGTACTCACATCTGCGAACGGTTGGGTCCTTCGCCCGTAAACCTCCCAACAACCTTCTTCAGCACGGTTTGCGGAGGGACTCCTACTAACAACCTTCCTACAACCTTCAGGAAGGTTTTTGGAAGGGTTTTACAAGGAGACATTCCTGAAACCTCCCTGAGGAAGGTTTTTGGTAGGGTTCTGTGAGAAAATTATCTTGGAACCTTCCAGAGGTTTGTGGAAGGTTCTAAATGGAATCGTCCAAAAACCATCCAGCATCCTTCCTGAGGAAGGTTTTTCTTTAAGAAAGAAGCCTTCCTGAAACCTCCCCGAGGCATGTTTCTGGAAGGTTTTCGCGCCCGCCGCTCGCCCCCAGCCGCCCGTTCGCCGTGCTTCCCCCTTCAACACGGCGCTCAGTACTCAACAGCGTCCGCCTCCAAACAAAACCCAGTACTCAACGGCCTCCGTCTCCAACAACACACCCAGCACTCCACCATTCTCTGACACCTTCAGAGGAAGGTTTTGGAGGGTTTTGGGCAGATTTTTTTTGAAACCGCAGGCCCGCCGTCCGCCCGCTCGCCGCCGGCCCGCCGTCCGCCGCCCGCTGCCCGCCCGCCGTGCCCCCGCGTTCAGCACAGCGTCCAGTACTCGACAGCATCCGTCTCCAACACAACGCCTGGTACGCAACGACCTCCGTCTCAAACGCAGCACCCAGTACTGAACAGCATCCCGCTGCAAGAGACAATCCTTAGGAGGTCAATTAAAATCCCGATCCGCCGCCCGCGCCCGCCCGCCCGCCGCCTTGCCGCCCGCCCGCCGCGCTTCCGCCTTCAACGCAACACCTAGTTCTCAAGGGCATCCTCCGTCTCCAAGGCAACACCCAGTATTCAACAGAGTCCCGCTGCAAGAGAGAACCCATTGGAGTTTTACTGAAATCCCGATTCGCCCGCCCGCCGCCCGCCGTCCGCCCCCCGCCGCCCGTTCGCCGTGTTTCCGCATTCAGCGCGACACTCAGTACTCATCAGCGTCCGTCTCCAACACAAAACCCAGTACTCAACAGCGTCTGTCCCAAACACAAAGCCCGGTACTCAACGGCATCCGTCTCCAACACAACACCCAATGCTCAACGGCCTCCGTCTCCAGCACAAACCTGTACTCAACAGCCTCCGTCTCCGACACAACACCCAGTATTCAACAGCATCCCGCTGCAAGAGAGAATCTTCAGGCGGTCGAGTAAAGTCCTGATCCGCCCGCCCGCCGTCCGCCCGCCCGCCCGCCGCCCGCACGCCGCCCGCCTGCCGCCCGCCCCCCGTCGCCCGTTTGCCGCGCTTCGGCATCCGTTTCCAACGCAACACCCGATACTCAGCAGCCTCCGTCTCCAACACAAGCCGGCACTCAGCAGCTTTCGTCTCAAACACAACACCCAGTATTCAACAGCATCCCGCTGCACGAGGGAACCCTTGGGAGTCCCGATCCGCCCGTCCGCCGTCCGCCGCCCGCCCGCTTCTGCCCGCCCGCCGCCCGCCCTCCGCCGTCCGTTTGCCGTGCTTCCGCCCGCGTTCAACGCGACACCCAGTACTCCACAGCGCCCCTCTCCAACACAACACCCAGTGCTCAACAGCCTCCGTCCCAAACACAAAACCCAGTACTCAACGGCATCTGTCTCCAACCTTCTTAAACCTTCCAAGCACCTTCCTCAGGAAGACTATTGGCAGGTTCTTGAAAGATTTCATCAAAAACCTCTCCCAAGAACTTCCAACAACCTTCCTCAGGAAGGTTTTTTGAGGATTTCTTTTGAGGACCATCCTAAAACCTTCCCCAGGAAGGTTTTGGGAACTTTTTTAAAAGAAATCCCTTGAAAAAAACAACTCTCCTGTATATTGCCTTCTACAGGAAGGTTGTCGTGTGAGGTTTTTGGAGGGTTTCTTTTAAACAAACCTTCGTGCAACCGTCCTGAGGACGTTTCTTTTGGAAGGTTGTTGGAGGAATCCTTTCAAAGCATCCTTCCAAAACCCGTCGCAGTGAAGGTTTTTGGAAGGTTTTTGAAGGAATCCTGCTGCACACATTTTTCAGAACCTACCTCAGGAAAATTTTTGGAAGGTTTCTGGAGGATCCAGTTTGCAAGCCTTCCTAAAATCTTCCTCAGGAAGTTTATTTCCCAACCATCCTGGGCGTTTCATGACCACACAGGGAGCTCCACCGAAGGCCCCAGTGGCAGGGTTCGCATGGCGGCCTCGGGCCATTTCGGCACACCCCTCACGAGGATCGTGGCCCCATAGGAGCTCCACCGAATGCCCCAGTGGCAGGGTTCGCATGGCGGCCTCGGGCCATTTGGGCACACCCCTCACGAAGATCGTGGCCCCAGAGGGAACTCCACCGAAGGTGCCAGTAGCAAGGTCCGCATGGCGGCCTCCGGCCATTTGGGCACACCCTCACGAGGATCGTGGACCCATAGGGAGCTCCACCGAAGGCGTCAGTGGCAGGGTTCGAATGGCGGCCTCGGGCCACTTCGGCACACCCCTCACGAGGATCGTGGCCCCATAGGGAACTCCACCGAAGGCGCAAGGCCCAGTGGCAGGGCCCGCATGGCGACCTCTGGCCATGTCGGCACACCCCTCACGGGGATCGTGGCCCCAGAGGGAAGGAACTCTTACCGAATGCCCCAGTGGCAGGGTTCGGACGACGGCCTCGGGCCATTTCGGCACACCCCTCACGAGGATCGTGGCCCCAGAGGGAACTCCACCAAATGCCCCAGTGACAGGGTTCGCATGGCGGTCCCGGGCCATTTGGGCACACCCGTCACGAGGATCGTGCACCCATAGGGCGGTCCACCGACTGCCCCAGTGGCAGGGTTCGCATGGCGGCCTCGGGCGATTTCGGCACGCCCCTCGCGAGGATTGTGGCCTCATATGAGCTCAACCGAAGGCGCCAGAGGCAAGGTTCGCATTGCGGCCTTGGACCGTCGGCCGTCTGGCGCGCTGCTCCCTCGGCCGACATCGCTCAGGCGTGATCCTGGACTGACACGAGGTTGGGAACGGCTAGAAGGAGGAGGACAACTGGTGGCTGGAGCTCTACGCACTGCTCTCGCGCGCCACGCGCAACGAGGACCTCCTGCTCATGCGGGCGCCCCGCATCGAGTTCTTCCTGGCAGGGCCGCCGGAGGGCTTTCGGAAGCAGCTGGAGCAGTTTGCGGCGCGCACGAAGCGGCGCCAGGGGGAGGCGACGATCCTCGCCAGAGAGCTGGGC